TTGCCCCAGGATTTAAGCAGTTACACAGAGTATGCCTTACCTTAATGCTTTTTAAATAAAAGAAACATTGTTATTGTGAACTTTCAACATTGTCTGTTGACAACTTTCTATGTTCCATAATGTTGTATTCTCCATTATAACAGCCCTGTGAGGTGGGTTTTATTTGCCTTATTTCCATAATGGGAACTAAGAGTCAGATTAATTAAAATTTTACCTATAGTCTCACAGCTAAGAAGTGTTAGACCAAGATACAAAAACAAAACAAAATCACCCAGATTTGCTTGACTATGAAACTAAGCAGTTGGCTCTGTGTGATGTTAAATAGTAGGCACCAAACACGCCACACTGCCATCTGACACCTTCCAAGAGTCGCAGACACTGCTCCAAAATGACACCATCTTTTTCTTGGGTGATAAATCTTACCAAGCTAATCGTAGAACTTGACATAAAGTGTCTTGATGTAAGACCTTACAGGCAAGTTCATGAACAGGTCGTGGTAAGCTTCAGAACTTCTGCAACCTAGAGCATCTTCCTCTCCAACCACAGTGTGAGAACTGATAGGCTGGCCAGCTTGCCAATTGCCTTCTCTCCCACTACTTTTTATGACTCAAAGACTTGCTTGTTTACTTTCAAAGATTTACTGAAGCCAGTAGGAGTTTATTAAAGTTTCAGTTCTAACTAGGTATTCAAGACTCTCCTGCTGGGGTCCTACCTTTGAGGTCCACTGGTATTGCTTTGGTTCCTTAATCTCCTAATGAAAAGGCAACTTCAAATAATGTTTCACAGCTCGAGGCTTTAGGAAGGGCACAGAGATAAACAGGCTTACCTGAGAATAAAGAGTAAGAAATGGAGGTTCTTTGAGAACCAAGTTCAGACTCACCCCTAGTCAATGAAGCAAAATAGCATATTTCTTCATATTCCAGAAACAACCTGTAGTTGAAAAAAATCTGTTTGCAAAGCATCAAAAGGAAATATCTATTCTAAAGAGTTCTCTGATTTCCTGAAACTTTGCTGTTCAATCCTATCTACATACATGTTACTCAAACTTTCAGAAGAGCAATTGATAACCATCCCTTGACAATGAAGAAATAGATTCTGTTTATATTGAAACTTTTGTTCCCAACTCATCCAGTGATCTATTTCTAGTTAATGTTCAGTTTTGGTCATTAATAATTTTTAGCATCTAAGGGAGTGTATTAGTTCAGTCCTTAAAATGTTAAATTTGAAGTACCTGGAGACAATTAAGAGGGAGAGTCCAGAAAGAACTTGGATATATATGAGAGAACCCAGGACTTGAGGGGCTTCTGATATGGATGCAAAAAACCCTAGTCTAGATGTGACTGTGGATACAAAGTATCTGCACAGAATTGCACCATGTATTGGTTGGTCTCTTTCATGGTTGCCTTAGACATCCCTTCCACCATGTATCCTAAGTTTTAGCTCTATTGTTTTCATAGAATTACAGAAAGCTTCATACTTAGAAAACTTTATTTGTACTGTGCTTTTGTCTGAATTGCTTTTTACATTCTTTCTCTTCCAGATGAACACTTTTGTATCCTGCAAAGGCCAGCTTAGACTAACTTCCTTTGCAAAGTGGTTCTCCAAAGACCATTACCATCCCAAATAGAACTGACACTTCTTTTTTTCTATTCCTTCCACTAGGTCATTTATCACAATCCATTGTCATTGTTTGTGATCTCCCTAAATGTGTGCTCCCTTTAGCTTCTGCCCATTCATTTCTCTGTATAGGTAGCAGCAGGGTTCCCTCATGCCAACAACTCCTTTGGGAAAAAGAAAAAGACCTTGTCGATCACTTCATGCAAGACCTACCCCTTTACTGTCCAGCACTTAGGAAGGTTTCAACCAGTGGTCATTCCTGACAGAGTGAAGTCTGGGCATCTCTAGCGAAAACTAGAGTAAGCTGTAGTGTTGAGAACAGAAATGTCAACACAAACACAGGCTAATGATTTATATTATTTTATTCAGATATTTTATCTCTTAGAGAGCTTTTAAAAGAAGTAATCTAAAATACAGTCTTTAGTTTACTTTTGTATAGGTTCATGTATTTGAAACTTTAGCTAAGATTTTTCAGACAGTGCAAAATGGTGAAATCTTGGTCCTGAGATTTTTTTTTTGTCTTGTCTCGTTTTACTTGCACTGATTGCTCGCCTGCACAGCCCTGCACCTGGTCTTCCCTGAGATTTGTAGCTGCCTCTCTGGCCCCTGCTGCAGGGTGGCCACATTCTAGGAGTGATATGTTTCCTGTTATAGGGTAAATTCTCTTTTATCCCTCCACACTCAATATTTGAGATCATGAAACTGTCTTTGAAGACAGCATAATTCTCACACTTGGAAGTGAGACACCACTGGGAATAAAGAATCTAAACTGCAGCCCTTTTTAGGAAATTCACTTAAATAAGATAGGTATTTACCTATCTTCCCATCCATCTGTTTCTCGGTAAAATTAGATGTCAAAAATTTTCTTTACAATTTGCTTGGTATTGTAAATAAATCTTTATCTTAGGGAGGTCTACTTTTAAAAAAAAGAGTTAAACTAAGAAGTTAATTTATCCTTTTTTTCAGGATGCATCAATAAAGTTTAGGTGTCAATTATATTAATTTACTTGCCCTAGACTTTTATTTCAAGGAATTTTTTGTTTGCTGTTTTGCTGTTGTTGTATTTTAAGTCTGAATTTTCTTTAACATTCCCACTGTAGGGGTCAAAATAAATAATGTTATGACTTTAATTAAACACTATTAAATATGGACAAATATTTTAAAACACACACAACTTTAGAATTATTTGGTTTTTAGTGTGCAGTCTTAACGACATACATATATAGCACCACACTCACACCACACCTCTGCTTGCACGAGATAACCAATAAAGTGTCTTTGTCTTTTGCTGAAAGAAGTTGGTATATGGGAACCCATATTGTTTCTGCTATTTGCACCTTCATGGATATCTTCTCACTCTGCCAATCTCTCCTTGCTCATTGTGAAAGAACCAGCTTTAAAAGATATTTTTTTTTTCCCTGCAGGATGTACATTTTATTGGAAACTTTAAGTACTTCTCAAACAGAACACAATGTTTTCAGCCAGGGCTCTCATGGCCTATAATGAAAATCAAACATTTGAATTAGGGGCAAGGAGAGAGACAGCATGGAGGAAGAGCATTAGGCAACTTAAAGGATCTTGACACTTGTTGATAAGAGCTAGTTCCTTCCTTGGTCCCTGTTCACCGCTCCTCTGCCTCCCCCTTCCTTCTCAGTGCCTTCCATGACTCCTCCCCAGCTGCTTCTTCCTAACACACACAGGTCAACACTTTCCAAACCGTTTTATCACAGAACACTTAAAAAAAAGTCATTGTGTAGAATAAGGTGACAGACAGCACAGAATGGATTGACAGACCACTTAATCCTGTGAGAAATGGTCAGCATTCAACCTAAACCCTGTTTATAAACTTAGAAATCACTCTACAGGATATGGCCTCATTTACGTGCACTGTCACCTCTCTTCCTTTATTTTGCTTTTATTGAGGCACAGCATAAAATTTCACTTCTTCCACATGCAACAAAGAGAAAAGAAAACATGGACTTTTTGTTGTTGCTTTATTGTTTTAGAAAATAAAGATTTCATCTTCTCTTTGATGTCCTCACTCTGTACTTCTTTGATTTAGGAAGCATCTGAGAAAATGAGACTCAGCTTTTTATTAAAACTTCCATTTTCAGCCAGAGTTCCATAGAGAATAGGTTTATGTACTAGTAATTTTTAACATGCAAAGAGGATGAATAGTATCACAAATAAATGTTGAATTTGTCTGATACAGATGAACAATCGCTACAGGACGATCTATGATAATGAAGGTCAATATGCCAAGATTTTGACTCATTTATGATCCAGTGACCTCTCCTGTCAATTCCTTGGCATTCTTGGTGTGGCACAAATTCCACACAGGCACATTACTACATAATAACCATGATTATGTACAGTGTGTTTTCTTATATTAAATGCAGCTTAGATTAAAAAGGCAATAGTGTTATTCTTCTTGCTGTGGCACACTCATTAACCTCTCTGGTAGCCAGATTTCCACAGAATGTAGTATGGAAAGCGTTGCCCCTGGGTACTACTTGCATCAGTTCATGAAATTTTAGTTTTCGCCTACTAAGCCATGTATCTAATAGTCACCACAAAAATTTTTTTTGATCTTCCCAATTTGAACAATACTTGGTTTTGCATTTCTGCACCACTGGCAGTATTCCCTGTGTGCCCAGAGAAAAAAAGATGGGAGGGAGAGGAGAGAAGGAGGAATCATACTAATTCTTACATCGCTTCAGCAGATGTGTTTGTAGTGAATGATGTAAGGGGAAGTTCACAAAATCATTTACATAAAGTTCCTTGTTCAAATCAAATATGGATATAATTTAAATTATTAATGTTAGGGGTCAGTAGAAATAAACAGGCTTTCCAGTGACATTTGGTAAATGGGACATGTGTTTTTGCTAAAAACATACTCCGAGACTATAAAAATAATTACATAGTCTTTAAGTTGCACTTTGTTTTGTTTTGGTGGGGTTTTTTTGCTAATATAAATTCTCAAATTATTTCCTGACTTTTCACATTCATGAGTTTACTTTTTCCTGGCCCAAACACCTTCTGCTCAGTGAAGGAAGTGGGCTGGGAGGTCAGTGGAATGTTATTAGGCCTCTTCGTTGGCATCCTGCTATTGATAGTGCTATTTACCTGTCTTCTTTAATGTCCGCTTTGGGGCCTAAATACAACCTAGAGTTGTGCTCTGAATCATAGAGACTATCATTTCTACCCATGGATCTGATTATTTCATATCATGGCAGGTAAATCTTTTTGTGGTAGCCGTGACCAGCGTCCTTCACCCCTTCCTACTGAGCAGAGTCCTGCCATGAGTGCAGTTTTATAGGATTTGCTTTCAAGCAAGCTTATGTTTCTCTCTTTTCTTGCTGCCCACCATGGTGTTCGAATAGTTTCAAAGAAAGCATGGAGAAATCTTCAAATTCCGACTGGCTAATAAATAACAGTGTTGCCGAGCTGGTGGCATCTACAGGCCTTCCGGTGAACATCAGTGACGCCTACCAAGATCCTCGCTTCGATGCTGAGGTAAGAGGGGCCCTGTGGTCACACTTTTGATGATTTGGCTGGTTAAAGCAAAAAAGCGGCTTCAGGGGCTTCCCTGGTGGTGCAGCGGGTTGAGCCAGCGCTGTGAAGCTGTCCGCAGCCTCTGCAGCACGGGTTCAAACCCGGCCTGCCTGGGAGATACTCACATGGCGCAGCAGACCTCTTCCTGTCTCACCCACTGCGCCCCTCAGCCATGTATTTCTGTCAGTCTGCCTGTTCTGCTCCCCGCTCTGTCTCTGGTGAATCCTCTCACCCTCCCGCACATCTGGCCTGTACCTCTGTTCTTGTATGCATGAATAAATAAATCTTTTTTTAAAAAAAAAGCAACTTCAGATAGGTGGATGGCAATTCCTGCACATCTTTCCCTGGTTTTCAGCATTGCTTACTGTTGACCGACAGGAAAACTTCCTATCCCTGCTCCTATTTCTGGCAAAGTGGCTCTCTGCTGTAAATTGATCAGAGGCTCTCCTGTGATTGGATGCACTTTATATTACATATACTCCTGTGCAAATATTCATGCATTCAGTGTATCCATGTACATTTTCTAGTAAGCTATGAAATACTCAGTAATAAAAATATGCTTGTAACATAGTTACTTCCCATTAGATGCTTGAACAGCTACCATACTTTAAAAAAATCCTCCCAAGAAACAGTAACTTTGTTGGTATTATTGTTAAATAGTAATCATATAGGTATATTGTGCTGACATACAGAATATATTGAAAATATAGATTTTAATTTGCAGAAGTTTAAATTCTAAGGTAATGTAGAGTTTCACACAGATAAATTCATATGAACTTATTAAATGTCTCTACTGGTGTGCATGTGTGGGTGTAGTTAAGAAATGGTAAGTTTCCTATTCTAACTTGCCAAGCTAAGATCTAAAGAGTAATGGTTGTATTTGCATGTGTGCATGTGTATATATGTGTGTGTAAAGGTAAGGAGGTATGTGTTCCAGGAAAAGCTGAGCGAACTTGAGTTGGGGAACTGAAATGAATGTATATGGCTTAAGGGGTGAGTGGATAAGGCTCACTCACCTTGGAGAGGGAAAGACTTTAAAAGCCATGTTAAGAAGTACTTATTTTGGTCAACGGGAAACCAGTAGCTGAATTTTTAAATGGGGGAGATGCTGGAGTTGTATGGTAGGGAGATGGTACTGGCTATAGAACAGAGAATAGAGCAGTAATATCAGCTGAATACTTGATGCGTGCACCCCTGAGAGAGCTGCTAACAACTTGTTTTACAAAAATTGAGAGCTTGGGAGATAGCCAAGGACTCAGTGCTAGTCTAACTCCAGAGCCCTTACTTAAAACCATTTCCTGTGTTGTCTGCTGTGTCTGGTCTGGGACATGGCAGTAGAGTCTCATTTATAACTTCAGTGAGATCATATTTGCAGATTTCTACAGGGAAATTCTAAATTCTTAAAATTCTCCTCCTCTTTGTAGCTGCCTGGAACCCTTCCTGCAGGCTACATCCTCCACATGAGTGACAGGCTTAATGCTCCTGCCTTAGGAACTCTTATCAACTTCCAGGCTCAGTTGGACCTCTCTCAGTAGACTCCCTTAGCTGTCCTGATGCCACCATCCTCCAGCTGTCATCAGTTCTGGTACATTTATCTGAACTTCAGTTATCTTCTCTGGGAAAGCAGATAGTCCAGAGTTGTGTCTGTTCTCCCAGAAGGAAGAACACCACCACCTTGGCTCTGTGACTGCAGAGTGGAGATGATTTATAGGTGTCAATATTTGCATACTTTAGCATTGTGATGGTGTTGGGATTGATTTTTATGAAGGTTTGCTTTTTGCTGTGTCCTTGATTTTAGAGGGAGTATACTATGTAGCAGGTTGCTATATATACAATTTTATGAAGAAAGATGTTCTCAGTATTGTCATTAATATCAGTGATAACTGCATAAACAGAAAGGCCTGCTATGCAGAAAAATCATTAATTGCCAATACTTTGTTACAAAGTCAATATATTTATTAGATGTCAAGGTGACTGAATAAAGAAGATATTGTATATATACACAAAGGAATACTATTAAGCTATAGAAAAGAAATTCTGCCATTTGTAACATTGATGGACCTAAAAGGTCTTATGCTGAATGAAATAAACCAGAAAAAGATAAACACTATATAATTTCACTCACATGTGATATATAGCGAAAACAAGATGAAATAATTAATTTAATTAATTCACAAGATGAATTGATTAATGAGTTTTATTCATGATATCAGATGAATTACATAAAACAAAACTTAACTTTTGACCCAACTGGTGGTTACCAGAAGGCAAGTGGATAGGGATTGAGGGTCATAGGCCCCACACATATTCACCTTGATCAGAGAATAAAAAATTCTTGTTAATTGTTGCTCTTTTTTTCTTATGCAAACAGCACATATAGCAAGTACAATTAATATCTTAGGAATTCTTCTTATCAACACATTATAGTAGGGCCTCCCCGGTGGTGCAGCGGTTGAGCGCTGGGTTGTGAAGCTGCCCGCAGCCTCTGCAGTGGCGGTTCGATCCCCGGCCGCCAGGAGAGGGTCCCACATGGCGCGCAGACCTCTCCTGCCGCCCACTGCTCCCCTTAGCAGTGTACTTCGTCAGTCTACCTGCCCTGCTCTCCGCTCTGACTCTGGTGAATTCTCTCACCCTCCTGCGCTTCTGACTGTACCCAGTGCTTGTATAAATAAATAAATAAATCTTAAAAATAAAAAAACACATTATAGTAAACTTGAATACACCATATCCTTCTATCTTGCAGGCAGACTCTTGCTCCCTGTCTTTCTGATTATACAGCCATTTCAAATCTTTCTCCACACTCACAATTCATTCCAACAAAGAAACCTCTCCTGTTGATATATCAAAGGAAGAATGTGGACTCCTGAGCCAAAAAGCACCAGTTATTTCTGTGGGGTTGGACTGCATGCCCAGAGCCAGTAGTTAGAAGCAATGCTGTCTAAATCCAGTAAACTGATAGGTTCTGCAGTGACTATTTCATGAAATCACTTTCTTTCCTATGATTAAAATAAAGTATGTACTTAGACCATCATTATTTCTTAACCCGTCCCTAAATGCTTTCAGTCTGCCTCATAGATAACGCTGGATTTTATACAAGTCTGGAGATATATTATGCCATGATTTTTACTGTTCTTGTTGCATGGCGCTGCATTTTAAATTTACTCTATATTTCTCTTCTCATACTAAGGGAAAAAACTGGAAAGGAATTAATGCAGATGGAGGAAATGGGGGAGAAAGAGAGAGATCTGTCTTCTTCAATACTGTCATTTTATAGATATGCTCTACAGATGTGTGGCATTTTGTGGGGTAGTTGTGAGAGAGAGTTATGTATCATATCAGGAAAATCAAAATTATGTACCTGCTTAGGTTCTGTGCCTCCTCACATATATTCTGCCTCCGTGAATGGCGTCAATTGTTGATGTTAATATAGAATAAAACAGACTCCAGATTGAGCCCAAGATGCTAAGATGCTCAGATCTACTCCCCACAAAGCCTGATTTAAGGTGCTGTAGGTCATATGACAAAGACAACTTTTTTAGACAATATTTTCATTAATATGTTAAGTAATTTTCTCAAGATAAAAACAAATACCATGACAAAATGACATCGCTCCATCCTTTCATTAAAAGTCAGTCTAGAAGCCCCAGAACTATGTTGTCTTCTTGCAAAGACTTGAGTCCTCCCCTCTATGGGGCATACCACCATAATTATTCCCAGCTACCATAATCGAGTAACCTGTCAGTGGTAGAATGTTTTTTCAATCTCTGTACTAACTTCCCTGAATAGTTTGAGGCCAGTAAACAAGGATGGTAATTTTTAGAGAGGTAGCATGGGGAATGCATTGCTAAGTATTTTCTGTTTTTCTTACAGATTTTCTCAATATAAGTCAACAAAATGGATTTGAATTAGCCAAAAACATATTTACTCCAAATTGATATTTCAATGACTAACAACCTTTACTTTCTTTACTGAGCATGAAGAAGGACCCCAATTCACTAATAGAAAATATTTCACTAGTAGAAAATATAGTAACCTGGGATAGAAAACCCAAAAGTATAATGACCTTATTCTGGGATTTCATACTATTATACATCAGCTTTCAGTTAGTAGGATATTAGAGATTTCTTTAATTTAAAGGGGAGGAAACTCAGAGAGCTGAGGTGACTTGCAAAAGACCAGAGTTTTCTTGAGGCAGAGTGTCAAAGTAAACTCTGAATCTGCTGGATCCTAATTCAGTTCTCCCTTGAGTGGCCTCTTGGGGCAACTAGCTGCTGATTGGCTGCCTGGACAGTTGTCCCCATTCTGTCCTTTCTCTCTCCACACAGGCACAGAGACATAGGGCCACGTGTCCACCTTTCTGCCCCCCTTGCCAGCTGAACAGTCTGGAGCACACTACTTTCATACATATTGTGACATCTGCAATGCTATAGAAATAGTTTATAAACTGGATAGTTCTCTATGGATATCAGGGAAGACATTGGTCTGACTGAGGCCAAGTTTTTAGTTTGGGACAGGGTAGTTTTTTCCATAGTTTTTCAATTCTGGAGAGCTAGTTCTTTAGCTCTAGTCCTGCTAGAAACAGATCCTTTTCTCTGAATATAGGGCCTATGCACAGAGCTGTAGATCAGCAAACCTTGGCTTATGGCAAGGCAGTTTATCTCCTCTCTCTCCAGAGACACAGTAGGGAAGGAAGTGGAAAGTCTCCAACCAAAGAGGGGAGTTAAGGGTGATTGTTGACAATAAAGAAGGGACAGTAGCAATAATCTGAGAACCAACAGGTCTACAAGAAAGCCAGCTCTTCCCTTTTCTGGTCAGAGGAGGAGCAGTTGTGTCAGCTACAAGGATGGTGAAAGCTGGATGTGGGTCCTGTGGCCTTGGGTTACCCTGGGAGATGGTCACCAGATCCTCCCATATTGGGGCCAGCAGTATGCAGACCTGGCTGCTGACAAGACTGGCCAGAC